AGTAGACGGTCACCGGGCAGCAAGCCAGGTACCCCATCGGCACCCACCGGCTCCACAAAATGCACAGTTTTACCACTACCAGGGGCATTAGCACGCCTCAAAGCAAATCCAAAATCGCCACTAGATCGACGTTTCAACTTAATAACCCTTGCAACAGCCGAAGTTGCCGGTTGGACTTCCGGTAGCTTTAAATCAACCCCCATTTCTTCTAAAGATTTCTCTGAGGGTGAAAGAATCGAAGGTGAATTGCTCGCATCACGGGGAGGCAAAATTATTCTTGGTCCACCAAAATCAGTCGGAGCCTCAGCGAACGACTGCCCTGCATTGACTGGTTTTATTGGGCCGTCAGTTTCCATCAGTGATTTTGAATGAGCTTGGCTACGGTTATTATCTTTTTCCGAACCTACATTGATCAATTTGACTTCAAACTCAACAACACCAGCGCGATCGGCAAGAATTCTAGGAGGTTTGGGAGGAACATCACCACCAATCTCCTGTTTATCGCTTGATACAAAGTCACCTCTAGCTCTAGAATTTACTGGTGAAGTTCCATTAACTTCACCTGGAGAACGAACATGTTTCTCTTCGTTCGGAGTGGTCTGCTTTGGACTTTGCAATTTGATTTCAATACTGGAACTTTTCTTCCGCTTCACTCGGGGTTTTGGCACTGGTTTATCACCATTCGAAACTTCATTTTCATATCGCTTTCCATCCTCTACACGCCTATGACCACTTTGTGTTGCATTATTTGTAGAAACAACACCAGTGTTTGATCCGAAATATGCAGAACCGCTCGAGCTACCAGTTGTGTCTGTGCTCCCAGAACGACCTTTTCTCCCATAGAAATCAATATGCTCGGAACTAGGAGAGACATTCTCATAATCTTGATCGATGTCATATCTCCGCTTGTCTGTCTTTCGAAAACTAAATCTCCCTTTCTTCTGGTCGTCGACATCAAAACTATGGCCAGCGATAATGTTCCCAAGCTCACCGTGCTGTTTGCGCTCCACTTTATGCTTGTCTTTCTCCTTTTCTTTCTTCCTTTTTTCTCTTCGTTCGTCCTTTGTCTCGTGAATCTTGTCTTTGTCCTTCTTTTTAAAGGAAAACATTCTGAAAGATTCCTTCTCCAAATGCTTACGCTAGTTTATCAGTTTACTTACAGACACCACTTCAATGAGTAACACCAATGGCCGCCAAATTTTTAATTCATTAATCCGGGCACTGAAAAATTGCATTCACGTGACCAAAAGTATGACAAAAATTGCGTTACGTCAGATGTTGGTCACACAAATACACTCTCGAAAATTCCGAAAAAGAGACCTTTTCTTTCCTTCAAATAAGAAAAAATCTCCAGGAAAAGTTGAAAATTTCCACTGAATTGTTAAATCTAAATTTCAGTAAATTGTTGCTATTATTTTTATTTATTTTACAGTAAGGATTCAAATGCAAAAGCAAAGCGCGCATGGACTTGAACAGTGAGGTCACGAAACTCAGCAAAGTCACGCTACATGTACCTTGATCGTGCACGGCACAAGGTAGAGGGTCGCTATCGTACTACATTGAATTTTCCTGCAAAAAAAAAAGAACGAGGTGAGAGATCAAAAATGGATATTGAAAGACACTTATTTCTAGAATATACGAAAGAAGATAAAATAGATTGTTTAATAGAATTCCCATCCTCTGTGTAATTCTGCTTTTCAGATGAGGTTGGTAAGCCATGACGTCATTCGGTTGTGGCGGTCGCTTTGCGTGATCTCCTCGACGAAACGTTAGACAGAAAACTGTCTAAAGATCGGAAGTCTAAAGATCTTAAAAGATTAACTTTGCTTAAATATGGGGATAAACCTTTTTATGGACAGATCCATGACTATAAAAGTCATAAAAAGTCTTTTTACGTGTTTTCAAATCAGGGATATGCGTTTAAAATAGTTTCAAGGTTAAGAGATGTCTATAAATTTCAATACAGGGATAAGGGATAACCCTATTAAAAACGGCACTGCCTTTAAAGATAACAACATTAAGAAAAAACACGCTTTTGTGTATTTTGTTTCATTTAAAGCTTCATTTTTATTTTAGTACAAGGGCTGTTTAAAGTCGACTTTGAAATGTCTGTACAGTCAGGACCTCTACTGATCGATGCAGGACTTCTGTCATACGTATTTGTTTTGGATCGTTTTGTCTTCGTTCTAGTAGGCCAATAACGTTCTGTGATATACCAACGGACAGCTCCAGTTTATAGAAGTTTCAATAACCGATATTCAATTTTGTTGCCAATGGCCTCCCTGCAAGAAAAATTGCCAAACGTACGGGGAGAATCCCCCAACCTTAAAGTCTTGCCATTAGCATTGCTCGAAGTAGGTTCGACATGGAACAAATTTTTTTGGCTAAGTCCGGTGAATGCTATGGCACCGGTTCATATTTTTCCGGAAATGTCAGGCCAGTCAAGGTCAATAACTGCCGCATATGTCTACAAGAGCTACGACGCCGACTTTGGAACATTTCAAACTCCGCCTTAGCCTGTTCCAGGCTCCGAGATAGTCGCGTGCCTTTTTCTTTCCCGTGTTCCCCACTATCTGAGAGCCTGGAACAGGCTAACTCTGCCTGAACCGTTTTTTCACTCTGTAACACAGTGATTTTTCCATAGATTCCTTTAATTGCCGTAGCTTGTTTGCTGTGGTCTCCAGTTTGCGTCAAGTCCCTTTCCCCGAGTGAGGCAAATAAAATAGGAGGCATCTGCCTGCAGGTTATGAATATTGGAGTTTGAACCAATCAAACTTCATGCGCGGGGCCCGTTTCTCAGAAGTCCCGCGGATTAAAATTAACGGACCGGGAGGGCAGTTCAAGTGTCCTGTGTTCAAACATGCATTCGATAGCGCTTTCCACCGGATAAATCATACCCAGCGGATAAGTATTAGGGAAACCAATTGCGTTATCCACTGAATACACATTTATCCGGTGGATAGTGTTATCCGACTTACCCACCTAATTTGAGCAACTGAAGCATATCGTTCAACTTCAAACCTAGATCGAGGATCAGTAGTTTTGCAGATAACAAGATAAAACTTTCATTCAACAAAACAAAATGGACTGGTTGGTTGGCTTGGGCCCTCGATTGCTTTCTTTAGATTGCAACTTTCTCTTGGGAGTTAAAATGACCCCAAGAGAAACTGAAAACAATGGTTATGCAAAATGTTGCGTTGACAAACAAAGAGCGTTATGGTATGTTATGGTATTTTCTGGAGTGGTCAATTGGACGCACGGTGCGATCTCTGTGACCAGTATGTTCGCTGCACGTAATACACGCAGAGACTGACGCCAGAGAATTCAATTACACTCACCGTAGATAAATGAATTACACACTTTAAATGTTCTTCCACAAACCTTTTTCAGTGACAACAAAATCTTCCCATAGGCGAGAAACATTGAGCAATGGTTACGTCCCAAGCCTGCGAGAAGGTACACTTTGCTCCGGCGACAAAATTTTCCCCGAACTCTCCCAAGTGAGTCTGCTCGAAGGCTATCTCACTCCCAACTCCAAAACCCTCTTGTTCCATAAAATGGAAAAACAAGCTTGCACCCTCAGAGGCCTAGGTCATTAAGCCTCCCAAAAGAATCGGCTTGGACGAAAGTTTTCGCCGGAGAGTTCTCATTCCTCCCCGCCCCAACTGACTCCAGACGTGGTTAATCGATAAACCGATGATCGATATTAATCGATATCAATCATCGATGATTATCGATTTCCATCTCGATCGCCAGATAATATCGAAAATTTTTCCGATAGAAATCGATGATTTCTTTGTCGATTGTTATCGACTGCTATCGATTTCTATCGATTATCAATTTTGTGAATCGATAAATTATTAAAGAGTGCTATCGAGAGGCCAAAGGAACAAACGTCACAAACAGCAAGTTGGAGGGCAAATAATTTAATTCCTTGCTTGTAAATATAGGAATTGTTTGAACTTAAATCTTTTCTCCTCGAAATTTCCTTCACATAGAACTTTGAGGAAAATATACAAATAATCGTATCGTCTTCTACATTTATCAAAATGTACACAGTATTTTTGCGCAAGCAACGCAACGAATGCTCCACGAAAAAAACTCCTACAACAAAACTGGACGTCTGTTAATGGTGCGTGGAAACGAATCCAAATAGAAACGTTTCTATAATAAATGATTTTACACCCTACTTCCCAAGTCTCAAATACAAATTTCTACCACTTTAATAAGAACATTCTGGAAAAAATGCTTTCTTTTGCAATTTCAAACGTGAAACTTGGAGCCATATTCGCGACTAGAAGTAAGAAATAAGCGGCGGATCAAAAACCTGAGAGAGGGCACAGTAACAAAACTGAGTTTGAAGCCTGAAAATTTTAATTTTGTGCTGATTCACCAAAACCCGTTAAGTTTATTGCTTACCTCTTCAATACTAAAACGTTCTGCTGAAATGACGTTAAGTCGTAGGCAAAGTGACATAGACAGAGGGAAATGTTCATTACACTGCTCAAAATCTTAGATGATCATCAACCAGTCTAAAATATCGCAACCTGGAACTATGTAATAACCTGTTCTAAAAACAACCCTGCCCGTTGGTGCATACATTGATCAATTTATAAACAAAGAAGGCGCAATGCGACACAAGAAACGAATTTTTTCAAAATATTATATACCACTATGTATAGGTACAAGCGACTTTTTTCACACCACTTGAGCGACGAAAATAAATCTTAAACTTACTCGTTCACTGCACGAGCTTTGCGAACTAGTTGTAGGTCATAGAGAATGACAATAAACGAGAAAAGACAGTTGGTGGAAAACCACACACACAAATCGAAAAGCTCGTATACAGATTTTGGCGAATCAGCAATCGTTATTAAATATTATTAATAATATTAATATCTAAACCAGAATGTCTCTTTCGCAATGGAGAAAACAGGGAGCTTTATACCAATTTCCAGCATCGGAAATTTATATACTATACACCGTTATATTTTCGCCGCTTATGGCCTATCAGGCGCAGCCAAGAGAATGTCTGCAGTGCGCACATGCTCGCTTCCTACTGCATCCCCTGGACTCCGACTTCGCGGTCTCATGCCAGGCAGAGGCAATCCCAGCATTCCACGCGGGGGAAGAAATCCCGGGATGCCTGGCGGGTGTGTGACAGCTGACATGGCGGAACCACTAAGATACGGATGGCTACTTAAGGATCCGGGGGCGAAGATAGAAGGTGGAGGAATGTGAGGATGGGTGTGGCTATGAGGGAGGGAGTACGGGTGTGGATGAAGATGGGGAGGAGGGTATCCCCCGATACGGCGCGCCATCGGAGGATGAGCGGCGAGTCGAGCAAGGTCGGCTCGTTCTCGTTCTTCGTAAATGTTTCGTTTGTCCATGAAACTTGTAAAGACACCGTGTGGATTACCAAGTACACCGCTATGTCTGTCACTTGATAGTACAACAAGTTCATGTTCGTCAGTTAATCTCCTTTCGCTGGATAACTTGGGTAACTCGTCCCTTCGGCTGCCGGAAATAATACTTGAGAAGGAGGCGGAAGTGGAAGAAGTGCGTTCCAAAGAACCTCTGATTTCTTGTGATGATGGCGAGGTTTCCCTTTTAGGATCCGTGCTGGTCAAACTAGCGATATTAAAGCCGGTGGAATGTGTAGGTCGGCTACTTGGAGATCTTCGGGCCTCTGCTGGCTTTTCCCTGTCACGTTGCTTATCACTTTCTTCATCGGAGACATGAACTGCACTCCTCTCTCGCTCCGAGGGTTTACTGGACAGTAAGTTGCCAACTCTGTGGGGTGACTCAAGCCTGCCTCTCTCCTTATCTCTATCCTGATCACGATCTCGACTCCTATCTCTTTCACGCTCACGTTCACGCTCACGTTCACGTTCAAGCTCGCGTTCTCGTTCCCTACCACGTTCGTGTTCACGATCCTTCTCCCGTTCAGTTTCGCGGCTAAGCCAACCCGGCACACGTCCCCAATCACGATTAATTCCATGGGTGACACCATAACTTGATCCAAGGCCTAGAGAGTTGCCAGTTAAACTGCTACTCGCAGTACTCCTGAAAGGACTAGAAATAGACGCACCTAAGCCTGACCTCAGTCCTCCTACAGGGCTGCCCCCTAGACCCATCATACTGGGTGACGTAGCCGAGCCGATTCCCATGGATCCTCCACTGAAGGGGGCCACCAGACCGTGACTGGATCCGTGAGCTGTAGGTATGGGAGCTCCCGGTAAAAACGGACCAGCTGTGCAAGAAATAAAAGTACAAGTCATGTTTCAAACGCAGCAGCTAAGAGTATTCTTGGTTTGAAAACACCTGACAAGGAAGCTATGTTGGAGGTCAAAACAAGTTATCTTAGTGATAACACACGCTAGAAATAACTATATTCCTTACCACCTGCAGGAATGGGAGGCGCTGCAACTGGACTCACTGTTCCAGGACCACCGTGAACAGGATGCGGAGCATCGTGAGTACTGGGGCGAGTGGATAACGACAGACAGCCTCCAGACCTGCTGATGGACACTTGCTCTGGTTTTACATGAGGGTCTTTGTGTAATTCAACCTGAACCTGTCGGGTGAGACAAGATAACAACACATCAAAACAGATATGAGTAGCTTTGAAAAGAGGTAGTAGCGTATTCTACTCAAGACCGTAGAATATAGCCACTCACCGGGCGCGCTAAGCAAGAGGTTACTCTTACAACGTAGTTTGAACTAATTTTTCTTAGCATTCTAAGAAAAGGGCACCCAAATTAATTATATAATCAAAATGAAGATCCTATGGGAACCAGTCAGACCAGTTGAATCATCTCTACTGATTCAATCACTGCTTCGGTTGTTGCCGCCTCATGCCTAACTGGGCTAAAATTCTCTCATAGCCCACGACTACAGCCGTTTCTCCTCGCTCATCTCGGCTAGCGAAACGTCCTCAGCGGTGAGAATCGAGGACAGACGGCTGTATTCACAGGCTAACTCTCTCATGATTTAATTTCTCATTTATTACTGAAAAAGGATTCTTAGCCTTACAATTTTTATTTATTTGTTGACTATTTTCCATCACAAACAGTGTTACCCTACAGTTGAAATTTCAATTTAGTCATCGCCATCACTTTTACGCTAGGGCAACCATTATGCGGCGACCCCGGTTATAATTCGCTGCAGACACTAGAAATGCTAAGACATTATTCAATACCACACACGACGCTGAAATTTTGATTCTAAATACCATGCCTTGCAAGGACAGTTGTAATCGTCTTATAAAATATTCAAACAGTGTGGAAGGAAAAACTCGATTAAATTCGTACCTTCGCCAAAAAGGAAACTATTACTGCCACAATCTTGATTAAATCGTACGATTAATTTTTCAAGTGACTATACAGTAACTCCAATGAATAGAATAAATCTGTAACAACCTCACGCAGGTAGAATGGCATTATGTACCCTGCAAGTTTTTTCCTTTTTCTCAATAAAATAATTTTTACCTTCTGTTGATGGTAATAAATTTGCCACGCTATCTGAACATGTGTCGCACACCATTTTCCAGGCTTCTAAAGAGAAGAGAAATCGAAATTAGTTTTAATGGAGCTATTGACTACTTAAATTAATTAATTATACAGGTCAGCAAATTCGAATCAACGAAAACCCAGTTTACTGATCAAACGAGATACGGAGTATATGAACCACACGATGAAGAAGATTCGAACAAATGCATAGCCTACGTGGCAAACTCGAGTTGGTCGCACCAGAACGTGAACTTTGCAGGTAGACGAAAGTCAGAGGGAAAATCGATCGCGCGAGCACGCACGATTCGCCTCCCTGTTACTCTGTCTAACCACTCCACCTAAAAAAAGAGGCGACGCTAGGGCTTTGATAACTAAAAACATACTCTCTGGAGTGCTTGATACTGCTTCTTTAAAATTGACCATCAATTCTTCTTTAAATACTGTATTTCCTCGAATAAGCACCGGGGCGCTTATTTAAAATTTTGGCCTAATGTTGGTTGGTGGGCACTCGATCGAGAGGGGAGCTTATTAAGTTTTCCTGTTGGTAATCAAGCGTACCTTAGTCCATCATACGGTTTACACACACAGTTACCACCGAAAAGGCAACAAAAACAGGTTTTCCTTGTATCCCTATTAGTAAGGAAAGGATGGGGGGAGAGGGAGGGGGGCGCTTATTCGGGGGAGGGCACTTATTCGAGAAAATACGGTATCCAAACGACCGTCACAACCGTGATTTTCCGTGGATTTCTGTCATGTTCACTGATGACTTACAGAAAAGGGGTCTCTTATTTCTCGACACATTCCCCAAAGGATTGACAGAGGTCAAGAAAATAAGGGGAATATTTTCATTTATACCCTGAAAGATTTCTTAAATGTTCCCTAGGAGACAAAAGAACAGTTAAATAAATTTCTAACGAATTCCAACAGCGGCCGGAAGTAGGATTAGAGAGGGCGTCCAAGGATTCCTAGTTGTTCCTTGAGCACCAACATAGACTTCCAGAATCCTAAAATACAGTTAGCACATAAGCACTCGCACTACATAAGGGACCAGAAACAATGAGTTTAACAGAAAAACAGAGAAGCAATACTATCACTTAAGTACAATCACACAAAAACAATACCTTCTGAATGAGAGGGGGAGGAACTGGAGAATGAGGAGCAAAATAAGAACCACCAGGAGAAACTCCAAGCTGGCGACAAAAAAAAAGACAAGGAAAGAAGGCTTGTTTAAAAAAAAAACTAACAAAAAAACAGTCCAAGAGTTTACGCAAAACCCTAAAGAAATTTTAGATTACTCTCAATTCAATTAAAATCCAAAGAAAGTTATAAAAAAAGAAAATGTTGGCTTAGCTTTTGTCCCTGTTTGGTGTCTTTAAGTGTGCATAGTGACTTGACACAATGAAGAAAAATAAGCTGCGTATTTTTCGTGGGATGGGTGTGAAGGCTAAATTAGATCGGTTAAATAATGCCCTACTAGTCACAATGTTGCTACAAAATCATGATATGCATCCAGAATCTCCATGCTTCTTCCCCCTTTCCTTGCCCCTCCCTGCACCCCCGAATTGCCCCGTCGAGACCCAGGACATAATTTTAGAGCCCTTTAGACTGTAAGACGAGTTCGACAACGAGAACGAGATTTTCGCAACACTAAGTAGTGCTCGACTGTTCACGCGTGAACCAGCGTCATTTTGGCGGGAAACGTGATGGCCATCGTCATTCTACTACGAGTTTTAGGGAGAATGCAGAAGTGGCAAAAACAAGTTATCAAATGTTAGGAATCTTATATTCTTCTCATTTAGCGATCGGGAGAAGGCTTTACCACCTTCAACGGAAATGAGCAAACTAACTTTTGTGGTGAAAAAAAAGTAAAATGATGCTTTCCTGGGTGTCTGTTTTTAGAGAATAGGCGAGAAAACTTAAATTTAAATGACGTCATCGTAGTCCCCCTCGTCCTCGAATCTAAAGCTCTCTATTATCAACGATGGCAAACTGGCAAAATGCGAGTGGTTTTCGGAAGTCGCCTGTCAAAGGAATGCCCTCTACGAGAGAATTGTGAATAAGTATTTCCCCTATATAAATGTGAGAAAGAGAAGGTACATGTTGTTGAAGAATTTCGGTGTCGAAAAACTACGCATACATTAAACAGTGCGAGAGAAATGCAGCCACTGTCCACTTGTTTTTACGTAGAACATGCACAACATAACACTCCTCTACTCCTTAGACAGGCCATGGCTAAACGGAAATAACAGTTGACCATCTAATATTATCCGACCAACATCCTAAAATTTTCCTTACGTTTACAACATGATCACTTCCTCAGGTCAACGATATTGGGAACTCAACTTTTCTCCGTAAAATACAGACTCTAAGTATTAAAATACTGTTGCTAAAGGAAATAAACCAGAATAATCATTTCACACACATAACAACTCACCACAGACTGGGGTGCCTGTGGAGTGATAACTGGGGTACCATTGCTGTGGAAGTGTTGATGCTGATGTTGGTGCAAGTGTTGGTGATGATGCTGATGACTTTCATAATGCATGAGCTGTGATGCACTCAGCCCAGGGGGAACTCTGTCTGCATGTGACTGCAGGAAACGATTATTCAGTTCATGACGCAGAAGTTCAGGACCTGTATGAAGTAGGCGAGTTATTCAGTCTCAGGATTGACAAAAAAAGAGTTGTGCTACATATACACTGGATCAGTCTTATTAAGGCCAGTTATTCTCCTTTCAGCTCAAACACGTTCGATTTAACCGGACAAACTCCCCACTTATGAGTCTGTGGACAAAATCCTAACATCTAAATCAAACAAAAGCAGTACATTGTACTTTCTTGAGGTGCTGTTGCTGTACAAAGTGGTCCTTTCTTTTGAGTCCATGGACAATATCCTATAGTGGTGTGTGACGATTTAAGCGAAACCTCGCCAACAGTACTTTTAAGTGTGTGCACACTCTTATTTGCTTTTACAAAGACTGGAAATTATATCCTATAGTGCATGACCGCATAAATGAAATCTCAGTTAATATTTTGTTTCTAGTGTTTTCCAAATGGGAATTTGACATATTTTTTCTCGGCATTCATTTTCTTTACCCTCAAAATATACAAAAATGAAATCTGAACTAAATTTTTAAAAGCTATACCTCACAGTGTTGAACATTATTAGCTGCTCTACCTATTGAGTCTGTGGGAAAAATCTCTATTAAGGTAACTTTATGAGAAATTGCTAAGCGATAGTTAATTAGTACCTGAAAAGTATCTAATTATTGAAGTACCATAATGAGAGAAAGAGTAAAAACCTCTCTCTCTCTCTCTGTGTAGGTACTTTATAGGAAAGTGCAAGTGCAGTATTGCCTAATCTTTCTTTTAAGTGCTTAATTCAGCCATGGTTTTAACACCACCATACACCTCCACATTTTCCAGATGACCTTCCTTGCCAAGGGGGGTGGTGTGGGGTGGTGTCAAGCCAGTGTCTGAATCATTAAGTGCATTACTTGGATAAGGAAAAGGTGACTCGCCAGCCGGTCCATGAGAGTAGCCGCCCAGGGCACCGGGATGGGCATGAAATGAAGGAAAGTGTGGGAACAAGCTGCTATGATGAGGGTGTCCAAACGAGGGCGTCATAGGGTGGCTTGCAGTTGTAGCTGTGGAACTAAGTGCCAAGTGGAGGCTTGTTGAAGTGCTTGTGCTGCGGCTGCTGGGGCGCTGAGATGTTACAGTTGATGAACTAAACAAGAAATACAATAAATAAAGTTATCATTCGTTCAAAATATTTCCCGTTTCTGATTGACTAGATTCCCTGGCCAATTCTTCATAATCAGCTACCATTGTCTACATTTGGGAAACCAAGTAGGGAAATACTGCCAAATTTTCCACATTTGGTGAAAAATTACATCAATGGTGCCCGACAACCAACAGGAAATGGCGTGGCTGTTGTGGTTCAATTTCATCCTTGGTTTAAATTTTATTTCCCTTTGTTTTAGGTTATGGTAATGTATGATAATGAGTTTAAAACAAAAGGAAATAAACTTTAAACCAAGCACGGTAACTAAGAAGCCCTACGGACAAGTTTGCATTGTGTTTGTAAAACTAGCAAAATGGCAGAAAATTTTACACATTTTGCAAAGAAAAAATAGCTAAATTACTGCCTGAAAACATAGAAAGAACAGCGAAAATACAACTTGAACAAAGACAATTTGCTATCTGACGAAAATCTGCTACGCTAAACATCCCTTTAAATCCTAATTTTGCCAAAAGGCAGGCAAATGAAGGTAGGAACCTTACATTAATTATTGTAAGTATGAAGTCTTTGTTATGAATAATACAATCATGTAATTTAACACAATTATTGAATTCAGCTTTTTCAATTGATCTGAAGAATTATGCAGATTGAGGAGGGTGTCTGATGATCGAGGTGGATGACACTATCCTCAATCTGTGCAATTCTTCACATCCTACTCAGACTTATTCAAAAATTGCTAATAACTATTATCAACGATTTACATGTCCCATTTAGAGATTGAAACCAAACCTGATTAGCTTACCGGTACATTAATTTGCAACAGTTAATTACAATGACTTTATAACCAGTCGCTTAGACTATTTCAATAGTCTTCTGTATGCTTTGCTCAAGTCACAGATTGTCAAATTGCGACGTATTCAGAATGCAGCAGCGAGACTCGCTATGAACATCGGCAAGTATTCTCAACTATAATTATAAGTATTTTAATTATTATTATTATTATTATTATTATTATTATTATTATTATTATTATTATTATTATTATTGGTTGTTATTACCTTGGCCATTCTGAGGGTTTTGATGTACTTTTCTCAGCCTCTTTATCAGAGCTTTCTCCAGAAACGGGTTTAGATGTGGCTACTGATGTCTTATTTAATAATGTTCCTATAAGAAATACGAAATCAAGCAAGGATTACGAACAAACACTAAACTTAGGGAAACTTTGTTTACAAACTAAGAGATCTACACGTACTATCTCCTGACTTAAGAATAATCCTTGAAACTTATTCATGTTTTTACGTTCATATGAAGGTTAATTGTTGATATTTCAGGCATGTTACATTACACTAAATACATTACAGTACTATAACTGGAGTTCCAGAAGTTTATAAATAGTGGAATATCCAGTTAATCAATTCACAGGTAGCCCAAAAAATTAATAACAAATTTCCTCTATAAAGCACTTGAGGTAGCTTGAAAGAAAAAATACGCCAGACTTTTTACTATCTTTCCAGATTTTATTTCCATTTTCCACACTTTTTTCAAGAATTCAAGACTGTACAAACCCTGTAGTTTTTACAGAAATTTTGGGTGCATATCCCTCTTCCAGTGTACAGAAAACTGTTCACATGTCCAAATTAAAGGAAGCTGAATTTAATATTCAGTCCAATTAGACACGCCCACAGAAAACGCTTACCACTTTGAGCAGATGTTGTCACTGCAGATTCATTCTCTGACATCTGAAAAATACCAAAAATTGTAAAGTAATAAATTTTAATAAAGCAATTGAAGCTCCGCAACACCCACCATTCCATCTAATTACCACAGTTAACACAAATCTATTTGTTTTCTTGTAATTTAAACTTTAATTCATATTTAATTTACATTAAAAATAGGTTAATAGCCTGGTAATAAAGAGCAGCTTACAATAATGTATATCAACAAAGCACCTGTTGCGAAAATAATGATCTTAGTAAAACAATAATTTAACAAGAATATTAACAAGAATAATTCTAGACCAGGAAACACAACTTTTCATCCATTCAGTATTGTTTTAATGGCTTATCCTCATCTGGAATATTAAAGCCATTATAACTCCAGCTACCCACATCTAATATTATAAACAATTCTCACAGCTTTTAAACTAATTTAAGCTAACCATTTGAAGCCGACTGCAAAAATACAACTTGTCAACTGTCTTACAGACTGACAAAATGAACCAGTCTAGAAACCCCCACAATTCATTAATCCATACAAGAAAAATCTGCATTTTGGTAAATTCCCATCAGACCTTAAATTTAGTATCTAGCCTAATACACGTAGCAAAAAAGATCAAAGTTCACTACAATAAATTACAATGATCAACAAAGAGAATAAAACAAAAATTGACAGAGGATTTAGTTAAGGCCAAGTATCAGGTTTAAATTTTGTTTTGTTCAGATGCTACATTTTTTACAAATAATAATAAGATGATGCACATGCATGTTTCTTCCTTTCTCATCAGCTCATTTCACCCACAGCCCAGCCCAGCCCCTACAACCAGCAACCTTACAGACAACTCTCCAGAGAACCTTATTTAGTTCAATTCTGAATTTATTTCAAAGTAAAAAAACAAAATAAAAAATTTCAACAAAAAGGTTTACTTTAATGCTTTTATTTTACAATAATATACAATATACAATATTTATAGAGCGTTAATTCCCAATGGTCCAAAAGCAATTTTCACCATGCCCTAAAATTTCTCATTTGTAATGATTATTATAATGTTTGAAGAGAATGTTACAACCACTTGAGATGGGTTGTGCGCAAAAATTAATGTGCCAAAAACTATCAAGCCAGCTACGCAAAATAAATATTACTTACAGAGACAAATTTGACAGAGTCTGGAGGAGTATGTTTAAAAGTTTTTAGTTTAACCAATAACAAATGAATATAAACTTACCCTCTCACCCTCACTCTCTGTGTCACACTGAAAAAAAGAAAAAAGAAAATTACTGCAGAGCTCTAGGTTATAATAAAACACTTACATGCGCCATGATAATACTCCTACAAAGTATGCTGAAAGTAAAGTAAATGAAACAATGTAAAAAGAGTTACCCAGTATCCTTTATCTGAGCTTGCAGAGTCTGAATTATCCTGAAAACAAAGTCAACAGAAGGTGTTGAATTATTATTGAAATGTGGAATTTACATAACACCAATGATGATGACTCACTGCAAGTTTTTCCACAAAGGTGTCACAACATGGTGAAACTTGAACTGAAATTGTCCAATACATACTGACAAATGCCACTTTCATGGAACTCCAATGCTACATAACACCCAGCAATATCTATGAAAATCTAACAGCTGTCAAATTAGCCTCTAATTGGTTTGTGCTATATGTTTTAGTCACAACAATACCATTGCTAGCCCTAATTTTCACATGTCCAATAGGTACAGTGTCATTAACCTATTTAATAAACAGAAACTTTTAGATAATACTTGATGTCTAAAAAAAGGTCAATTTTTTTAAATTAAAATAAAATAATTCTCAGCAGCAGGCCATGTGTTTAAGGGAGTTTAAGATGTTACGACAACAACAGCAATAAGAACATCAAAAAAGCGTTAGGTTTAATTAAGCAAAACAGCACCTCTGCAAATGCATCATACTTTTTGTACGTTTCTTTGCCATCACTGCAGGATTATATACACTGTAGTTAAAATGCCTAATTTCCCACTTTTAAACAGAAAAACAACAAAATTTTCTTTCTCTTTCGGAACTTGGATGTGGTTCTTAGGAATTCAACTCCGGAAGAGTTTGTCTATATTTGACAAAGTAAGCAAGTTAATAATAAATGGGAACCCTTGTTGCCTTATATAAGACTTTTGACCTGAGTCTCCAAAACCTAATTAAATATAAATATCTTCTCTACATCTTTTTTTTGGTTTTGTTGGTTTTGACTGTGCCCTTTCACTCAAGAAAAAAAAAAGGAAACGAAAAAGTAGGGAGAGAAAAACGAAAAAAGGACCAGATGTATCAACTTTGCTGTTTGCTTTTAGCCTGCTGCTCTCCTCTCAATTGATGTTTTTTTTTTTTTTNTGAAAGAACACAAGTTTCCTTTCTGAAAGATGTTTTTGCTGCTGTCACCATCATGGTATCTTAACCCTTTAAGCCCCAATATCCACAAACAAATTCTCCAAACTGATTTCTATACATTTTCTTACAGAATTAGTTGGGAGAAATTGATAAAAGATCAGAGATTTTTCTCTTTGTGATCATTTGATTAATTCTCATAGATGTTGCACTTGACAATCTATGGATATTGTTAGGAGAAAATTGATGTTGGTCACTATTGGGACTTAAAGGGTTAAACTCCCTTTATTGGCAAACAACTTACATCACTTGTGTTCCCAACTTGCTTCTCTCGCTGTGGAGTAAGCCGAGATCCCTCTGGTTTCTTTCGTTCTACATTTGCCTCTTCCTCGGAGTCACTGTCCTTTGGTTTGGGATCAAGATGCATCTAACAAAAATATAAACATACACTATCACTGTATAACTTTCAACGAGCAGTGTACATTCACAGTAGTGATTGGTCAATTTAAAGGGTTAGATTGTCATTATTGATATTTCTCATATTATTTATTATTGTTATTATTACTATTATCATCACACTGTATATTGTAGCATCTCAGGCTTACAGTGCCACCAAGAAAACCATGTCGGAAATGTTATTTCTGCCCAATCATGCACCAGAAATCCACTCGCCAAACTGCAGTGTTTACTGTTGTTTGCGCAGCAAGAATTGTGTTGGCTTTGATTTTCCAGGTATTGTAATTGATCTAATTTGAGCTAATTCAGGTCGTTTAAACTTAAAGACTACTCATGAAGAAACAGAGAAGTGCTTGTATTATTTTGTCCTTTCACCAATCACTGGTGCTCCAAAGCAATTTTTGTTGCTTTCAACATATGGAGCTGTTGCTAATACCTGTATAGTATTTAAATATCTACAATACATGTATACTACACTGAAATAAAACATGTGAACTCCACATGGCAGAGATTTGTCAAACAGAAAGTTCATTATTGTTACAGTCTAGAATATTTTCTCTTATCGTTTGAGGGTAAGACCTTCCCATGGCCATGTTGTAGACGGTGTACCATCAGGTTCATGAATGTAGGTTAAGGAGGCACTTTGCAAATCAAAGAAATAAAGAAATTTCAGCTGAACAAAAGTCTTCCTTGCATGCAGCTAGCTTTCAGTAAAAACCTAAAAATAATTTTTTTACACACAATGTAAGGCAAGTCAACTATTTCCAAGCAAGAACACTTCAGCTACATAAGTGTAGAATCAATGTACTGCACAATGTACTGTGCTGCAAAAGGGCACAAAAAACAACACTAACAACAGGACATAGAATTTTTAAGTGTGTGGTGTGGTGTTCTCACAAGACCTGCATTCTTTCTCAAAAGTGTTTGCTGCTCTAATCATTACCTGGGCATTCATTTTCCCCTCCCCAATAGCCAACATTCCATATTTCACAGTCATTCCATAAGTGCCATTGGATATGAGTTGGCTATAATCATCACATATCCAACAAGCGCGAGTGGAATAATTGTTTCACTAAAAATGCCCACAACATATCGAGAATTCTTCCCGACTTTATTTGTAAAAACAACCAATTTTCAGCCTATTTTTAATTTTGAGCAGACACGTAAAGTTAACATATTTGGAAAGCATGGTATAATGGCTCATATACCATGATGGTTAAGCCAATCAGAGCTCTAAAATTGCATTATCCAATTATTCAGTTTTTAATAAATTAAAATTATAACATGACTCCCAGCGTTTCTGGTCATTTTTCTATGTATCTGGTTTGGTTTTCTTTGTGCTTAAGTCTCTTCTGGGAATTGCGAAACAATGGAGTCGTGAAGAATTTGCAATTTTGCCCCTAAAGCCTCGGAGGCATGTTAGAATAATTGAAATATAACGAATGTGGGTCACTGATCATGATACATGTATGTAATGCAACCTAATCTCTGAGGATGTGCACCAAATGCAATAATTTTTTCTCCCAACAAAGAGTGACATTATTAAGAATAACTGAGATATTAAGAATAACTGACCTTGTACCAGTCTGAAATCCAATAACCTAACTGCTACACACAACAATGAAAAAGACCTGTAGAATCTGGTAATCCCAAGGGACTGCTAGTGTATTTGCCATACAACAAAAAATAATATTATCATTCACAAGTGTTTCGAA